CCTACCTGACACCAGACGCATGGCTCTCTCTTTTCCGTATATCATTCAACTTAAAGATTGCTACACTAAGAATACAAGGGGAACAGGAAATCTATCTGAGCAATCTTTTGTAGTGTAACCTCGGTATTATTAAAGCCTCTTTCTTCAATCAAGTCATACGTCATACTCTTCGAATTATGATGACATGTTATGCTCGAAAGGTTGCAATTATACTCAATCTCCGTGCAGAAAGTCGTACTTTTACTATATTAATTTTATTTATTATACCTTTGACGCACAAAAAGATGATCTATGTACATTGATTCTCAGCAACATGTACAGAATGCCTGTAGGCCCTCTAGATTTGCACGATGGTGGTATAGTTTTACTGAGTGGGGGTCATCGACGGGAACAATAATGGGAATCGATCGGGTATCAACTGTATTTTATAAGCCTATTTTCTTTGTAGGACGTTACAGGAGTTCCTTGAAAACAATCAAAACTTTTGAACTAAGGTGAATGAGTTAACTCATGGTCCTACGATAACATAAAATTGTGCAGATAGGTTTTCTAAGCACTTTGAAAACAGAAATGAACATTGGACCATACATTTCCTAACCAAAAGATCAATTCACTACATCTGGGCTGGTAACGGCTCTGTAAAACTGACTGCCAATTTCTTACGAAAGGGGCAATTCATAAGCAAAAACTTTTCATTGCATAAATACGTCACATTTAAAAACATGAATAACAATTAAAATTGATTAATAATAGAAGGAGCACACTACTGTCTGTGAGTTGAGTAAATTCCCTATGATGTACGCCAAGCACCTTTCCCGATTTTATCGAAACTTACGGAGGGCCTTCAAACAATTTATTTACCCAGTATGTAAATTCTTAATTTTGAAAGACAAATTCAAAAAGCTTTTCGCAAGACAGACCTCAAGATGTCTAGGAGATAACGGAAACTTTTCCCTTTTATACTCTCTAAACTACTTTTCTTCACCGAGTATGATAAATTGCTTGAGTTAATCTATAAAATATATTTTCTAAAGAAGAACCATTTCAAAAAAAGGCGAGAGAATATATAAAAGCGTAGGTTAAATTGGTTCAAGCAACGGACAGGTCCGATTAAATATGGTAGAAGCTAAAAAGATACTAATTATAAAATGTTTTTCTCTAAGCGTGCATTAAACCATTAATTTTATTCTCCATAACATGGGTTCTCCCATTTTCAAAATCTATTGATAATATTAGCTTTGAGGCTTTAAAAATATACTTGGAAACCAATGACAAAAGGGTGGGTATTGGGTGAGGTACTTAAACTTTACTTGTTTTCAACGGTTGTTGAGCTTGCGACCGCCATGTTTTTCTGACCTCATTTCCGTACTACAGATGAATGTTAGAGCAGGTTATTGCTGTATTACGTCAACGAATGTAAGAGCCGTTAACAAAGTTTCTTACACCCACCTCAGCACAGGGTTAGCGCTTCTGTTCACGGTCTTACTTTGCTTGGGTTCATTGTCTTGCTTCAAGTACGAACAAAATCTTAGAGAAAATTTCTCAATTTTGTTCTTGTTAAAGTTACAATGACCATCGTTCTGAATCATGAAGTCCTTGTCACAAAGGTCTTTCGCTTTTCGCTAGCTACGATCTGTAGCATCATCATTTATTACTAGTTGCATAGTATAGCAGTATCATTGGGATCCACCCTCTTTCTAGGTCAGGGCTCAACGGCATCAATAAACACCTAATATCTGAGACCAAGTGAAGTTAGGCCTTCTATAGTTGACCAATCTATCTTGGAAACCATTTTTGCAACAGAACTTTTCTAAACCCAGACCCTCTTATCAATTTGGTTATAAGTAACGAGAATCTCTCTAAACTCAGTGATATTTATGAAATAGACAATTGACCTATCTATTAAAACAAACGCTTGACCCCCAAGCTCAAATATCATGACGATAGCTGGACCCCTTCTTTAAAAAAAGGGGGCTCTGGAAAAGTCAAACCCTCTTAGTTACGTTCTTCTGCATGAGCTAAGCCTTGAGAAATTTCCACTTGACCGACTCGATAGAATCACATCGAGAATAAGCGTGGCAGCACAAGTAGAAAAGAAAGGAAAATTATGGAAGTCTTTATCGTTCAAGCTTCATTGTCTACGGAGTCCACAAAATCATTCATAGAAGGAAATTAGACCTACTCTTGTAAGCTAAACATTGAAAACTAATGATGTTAACTTCAGTTTGTTGTCTAATCGGCCAAGGCTTTTGCCAGTGTGGTCTCACTCGTGCCATCATCATATTACGTCATCTATGACCGACTGTCTGCGATTGTTGAGTAGATACAAATGCGTTTAGGACCTTAATTATCATACATTAGAAGCATTTCCCAATCTCATTGTGAAATTGTCTCGTCTGTTTATCACTTCCATCAGCCATTTGTCCGTAAAAAGTGTTACTGTTAAGCCATTTACGTTTAAATCATTTAGTATTTGATTCATTCATATGTGAAGTATCATTCATTCATAATTTACCCTGTGAAGGATATTCATAACTAACTTCACGAATTTCCTTGCAGGGCAAAGTGTTTCGTCGAAATTGCATCCATCGGCAAATAATCGGAGAATAGTGTATGGTTTTAAGGTATCTATACTGTTTTCAGATAATATAGGGTATAATTGCGATATCAATGTACGGAAATAAAACGCTCTAGGAGCATCTAGATGGGACGGTCTGCAATAAAAGTATTTCTAAATGAATTACCCCTTCACCCCCATGCTCAGTTCCCAAATAACTATCCTCTCACTACGGCCCTGATTTTTATCAAGAATTGCGACCAAACCAAGATTAGTTATCGAAAATGTGTTAAAAAATTCCATCATATATTCGGACAGAGTATTCTCAAAATCGTACTTGAGCAGTTCAAATAAAGAGGACTTTCGGTAAATTACGTTTTATCATGCCCATTTATAGTCAAATTTATTCTGACTGGCATATCGAGCCACCAGTTGCTCTTATAAGAAGTAATTTTGTTTTGCAACTATGATGTAACAAATGAATGTCAAAATATGCATAAAATGCTTAAAAGAAAAATAAAAGAGCAAGCTTGTGTCTTACTTAAAAAAAGTAAGCTTGTGTCTTGCTTAAAAAACTATCCCATTTTCGTAACACTTGCTTGGCGTCACAAATTTGTCCTGTCTTTGCAAGAGAAAAGGGAAACTTTCATCTGCAACTTATGAGAGTTTGAAAAGTAAAGGAAGTGTTGGGTACTTCTTTTTTAATCAAACAAGAATAAGCAATCAAATTCTTGGGTAATTCAAATGCCGGTAGTATTCAGTGTGATTCTGGGAATATCATTACGGCAACCAAGCATATTTTCTTATACGGACGAAGAAAATCGCAACAACCGGCAAACTAAAATATAATATGTGAAGAACATAGAGGCCACGTGCTACTGAATACTCACGTGATCAAGAATACTTAATCAGGTTTTAGAAAATGCGCGCAATGATACTGCAGCAAAATGAAGGAAATTAAAAATCATATGGAAAAGAAAAATCACGGACTATAAGCCCTTCCGTGTGATTTTTATCGCAGGAAACCGATAAGTAATTGTTTTCGATGATTACTGTCTCCATCCCGCGTTTTAGCTTGGGTTTCAGCTTTGCTATCCCTTTGGCGGGCCGCATTTTATTCTCCGTTTAAACACAAAAGGATAAGTTAAAACGTTAATTAATTGACACAATGACAGAGACAACACAAAAGCCAAAAAGGTGAAATGCGAAGATTATTCGACCGTGCTTTGAGGAGAATAAGGCAAAAGCTGGGAGATTTGCTGGGACCAGATGCTATCTCTGGATGCAAATCATTGATTCGATACAGACAGCGGCCAGCAAGCCAATTAACGACTGCATTAAAAATCGGTCTCAAATTTGAACTAATCTTCTTTTTGATTCAGTGTTTCCGATATCTCAAAAGTCTAATTCCCTTTACTTTTAGGGAACTGAAAATAGAGATGATGACCAACGACTTATAAAGAGTAGTGTATATCTATAAGTTCCATTACAGATGTGATTTTGGGCAACAAGACACCAAAGATGCCAGAATGAGCATACCCTCCCCCTTTTCTTCTCTTCTTGAAATAACTATATAGCAACAAAGCGAACAGAGCGACTAATGGAACATCTTAATCTGTGTTAACAGAAATTTAGGTTGAAGAAAATGTTAAGCTAAGAAACTTGTTGTTAAGATTAGAAATAAATTAGAAATGTTATTTTCACAGTTTGATGTAGTTTTTTGATTGGCATGAGTATTGTGATTTCTCTAAGTAGAAACCAGATTGCGAAAAAGCAGGTTGTTTTTCTCTAAAATAAAGTACCGAAATAGCACGTGAAAAACAATTTAACTACATTATAGTAATGTAGCCTGATTCATATTACCATATAACCGTCGAACGAGCGAACCCTTCGGATGCGTGCCAACAAAGTAAAAATTCAATGAGCACCCTCCCCTTTCGAATAAGCATCCCCTTCCGCGAATGTTAATTCTTTTCTTGTTTAGGAAAAGGAATGGCGAGGGGGATTGTAATATTGATGATGAAGAACTCGACAGTGGTTGTAGAACAATTTTAAACAATATCATTTATTACTAAAATTATATTTTTCTTTTACTCTTTCAAAAGCTAGCCGTTTCTATTTGAATGAGAAATAGATTGTGAAAGTTTCTCATAGATTGATTTATAATATTTGGGGTATATTCTGATACACGATAAAATGAATCATGAAGTATCAGAGACGTCACAATGAGTTGATACTTGAATGAAATGCAGAACTTCTTAATGCAGCGCACAGTGCAGCGTTTTACTATGAGCATATAAATAAAACATTTTGCATTCGAAACTTGCCGGCTCTAAGAAAATTCGAAGTAAAACTTTGCTGTTGCATCAGGGCAAAAAGTACCTGTTTGTCAACTTGACAGAATATGTTTCGTAATCATTATAAGTCTTAAAACTAGACTTACCACAAGGGAGGCAACTATATGGAGAAAAACCAAACTTTTTTTCCTTTTTCCGTTTGTCACGATGATGTTCAAAATGTTTTTGTCGCGCAGTACCTTAAAAAGAAAGCGTAAATTATAGGTTAAAGCGTAAAAAACTGAATTTTAACTAGCTCAAGGGACAACTAGCTCATTTTCTAAATCTAATAAATTTTTCTAGGTTTAGTTATTGAAAAATAAAATTTAACCCTGATATTGAAAAATAAGCTTGTTTTAACCCTAAAATGCGACTAATAAAAACATATAAGAAAAACTTGAATCAACAATAGCGTTATTTTCTCAAATTACCATTGCCAAATGTTTTTTTAAAATATTTGCTTTCCAAAGGCATGGTAATTCCAGGAAAATAGAAGAAGGAACTGTATGGAAGAAGGAACTACAATGTAGTTGTTCGAGGAACGCCGACCCCTTTACGTCTAAATTATTCCACTTTGTCAACTACAGGCTTGATAAGCCACCTTAATCGTATAAATAGCCTGAAGATTTGCAGGCATTGCGAAGAGTAATTGTCTGTTATCAAATACTGAAAGCTTTATTCTATTTCCTGGAAACATACATATGGCATATACATTCTTGGATCGGATCTTAAAATGTACTCAAAACCTTTACCTCAAGGATACATTTTATGGATGGACGAATGGCTAAACACAGGAGAGTAGGGCCAAAATAAAAACCTTAAGGAAGATTTGCATCATTGTTCAAAGGAGGGACAAAATGGTTTAATATTACTCTGTTATATGGCAGTGATATTTCAATGCACGTAAGGGATGGAGGTTTGTTAGTGGACACTGAAAGGATTTTCCACAGCGAATATAAGGAACAATTATAGGATTTTACAAATTTTTGTCCAAACCAAAAAAGACTAGTTTAGCTTCATGCTTCATTGTCAGACTTCTGGCACCCAGGGATGGAATAGATTCAAAATAAGGACTAACTGATTTGCACTACTTAATTTGTGGCACCCAGTTGCAGGGAAACTGTTCCCAAACAGAGATTTAGCTTCACTATCATTGCTCTTGTTTTTACGAGGGTTATTGTCCATTTGATGAACTGTCCATTGAACAAAAAGTGCTTCAAAATAGCTTTGTGAGTCTTCCCATTCGCAATAAATTCCTAATTTCATTCAGATAAAGGAAGTTTGGGATCTCTAACTTGTGTAGTGAGTATAAACATAAATGGATCTTGAAATGGTCAGAAGATGAGACCTACCGCTTTGAGGTATTCCTTCAATTTCTTAGCTGAGTACAGAGCCTTCTCTGCATTACTTGCAGATTGCATTGTTTCACTAGGAATGAACCAGTGACAATTAACATATGCAAAGTGATTATAATTATCTAATCATAAATACTATATCCTGTTATATCTATTAATAGAGATTAAGTCTTATGTTCTCCTTAGTTCTTTGCAACCAGGCGTTCTTTGCAACCAGGCTTAAGATATCAATCTCGCATACAAATGAACGTGCTACTATTGGAAAAACACTTGATATTGAAAGAGTAAACTAAAGAAATGAGGCTGCAGGGAATTATCCTTATTTTAGTGAAAGGTGGAGCTGGAAAAGCTGCGACATTAATACAAGGTTTGGATGTTCAGGTGAAACCTACATCCGAAGTCAAACAGTTTGATATAAACACACAAACAAGAGATGAAAATTGGAAATGCTATCATAAAAAAATTACCTCCATTCGTTGACTTGATCAAAGAAGACCATCATGTCATCGTTTATGTCAGTAAATGTCATTAAAACTTTCATTAACATCTTCTACAAAAGCAGAAAAAAATATTTTAGACACTGAGAGAAAAGCATCTTTTTTTTCCAAATTTTACACAAGTAACTATAAGTTAATTAATATCAAACGTCCCAAATACGGGGAGTCTGGCACGGATAAAAATTTGTAGATACTTGATAGACATTGTGACAAATAAAGGAAAAGGAGTGGCACAAAATCAATTTGGGGGGGGGGACATGATAATCTAAACAATTAACTATAAATATAAAAAAAATAAAAAAAATATGAATATAAAAACAAAATTACAATGTTATTAGCAAAATTAGATAGAAAGTAGAAAGTAGGGAAATAGTTATGACAAATCAACTTTCGCATAATACTCTTTGCTTTCAATTTTTTGTAGATTATCCGACTTGAAAATACTGCGGAACAGCTGATACTGAAGTTCTTTTGAAAATGTGGCAGTACCAAGAAATATTTAGAAGGATAGGTGTTATATGACGAGAACCTGATTTGAACTTTTATTAGAAATTTTATAAGGAAAGATTGAAAAATTGATAATCGATATTTGTTTATTTTTAATTCCGTAATCTTACATATGAGATATAAAAGTATGATAGGACTATTTGGAAATTGACAAAATCCAAGAGAAAAGAAAAATAAAATTGTTTACGTTTTTCATCTTCCACAGGAAACTATGTCCTTTTTGCTGATCCCGAAGTTTAGCATTAGACTCCTCCATATCCGTCACTATACTTTTAATTGTTTCTTTGAGAGTTCGTTGAAGAACGTCCGCTATACCAAAGATCTGTTCAACCTACGAATGCGAGAATCACCAATTTCACACAATATAACCATGCATAAACACGCAAATAAGAACGAGCTTCTTGCACATACTAAATGCAAAATTTCAGCAGGAGGAACAAGACGAAAAATTTAAACACACAAAAAATCCAGTACGGCAATAGATATTTTAATGAAAAAAATATTTGTCTATACCATGTTTAAAATTTTTGCAAAATAATATATAAGAAAGAAAGTTTTAAAATCGTACGGACAAGCGGGAGCTTGCCAATCTAAAGTACTTCCCGTTTGACACACGTCAGAGTCTAAACCAAAGATTGAGATACAACTTTTTGTCGGGGGGGGGGGGGCAGCCCTGATAAATCAGTGTAACAACAGCCATATTTTACAAAACAAAAGTTTTTTGAGGGGGGCCGAGGCCCAACAAAACCAACCTATATCGTTAAAATGCGTTACCTGAGGTAAGATGTATTCTCCAAGGGCAGAAATGGAATCTGGTGACGAAGATTCAAGAGCAGCTAGTAAGTAATCTTGCTCTGCCTCCAGGATCTTTATGTGGCCTAAAATCCTAAAAAATGAGAGCAGGATTCAGAAAACTTTATTTGGCATCTAACACTAAATAGAAACTGGTAAATCAGCAGGTCAACATGCTTTGTTGTAAAGAAAACGTTTCAAATATTTTATACGGCAAAACGGACAAAAATAAACTGTAGGCAGCTATAATTGGATTTACATCAATTCAATGTTATATCGATTTAAACGTTTCTCAATTACTTGCAGGATATTATTTGCCATTTCAATGCTACAAATTTCTGGCATTCAGTATTCTTCGACTGGTAGCAAGGGTGATTTGAAATAATAGGTGTGATTTGATCGATTGATAAAGAATAGATGAACAACGAATTATAGAAATGGCATATTACTGACGAAAGATATCAGCATGAAGGAACGTTAAAGCTACAAATAACAACAGTCTCACGTACATATTTACGAATTTCTTACAAAGGCCTTGGCGAGTTCGTTTTCTCAATTTGTCTCGATTTAGGTGAAATTTATCACACCATAGAAGGAACTTGGCAGAAGCTGAAATTAAACCAAGAGCATGTAAATCAAATGAAGCGTTTAAAAACAAAACCGGTATTTTCAGTAATCTTAATTGTGTAGTGTTGAAGTATATTTAGTAAAACATGAAGCTTCTGATATTTGCAAACTTTACTGAGAAGACCTTAACTTATAGTTTTAAATATGAAAGATAAATTTGGAAATGATTTATCACGATTTTGTTGACATAATTCTGTTTATACAATATTTTATAGGATTATTCCCAATTCTTTAGCAGTCTTAACAAACTCTGGAAAAACTGATTTCTTAGATTTACCAAGACTATATATAAAAATAGGAACTAGGGACTTTGGTAATTTTCGTTCTGGTGGTAGACCCCTGCTGAAGAAGATATTTCGACAAAGTTAAAGGAAATTTAAAAAAATCAGGGCAAGTGGAAAATGATTTGTTTTAGGTTTTCGAACAGGACCGCTCTACTTTCAAGTCAGGGGTCTGTAGCAGAGGCTAGGCTGACGCCAGGAAATAAGACGCTGGAAGGGGTGGGATATTTACAATGTTAAAATAAATAACAACAGACCCATATGGGAAAAGGAAATTAAACCATTTTTCTTCAACCTTAAGACGAAATACAAAAATTTACCAATAAGTCAATGCCCTTAGAGAAAAGAAAGGTAATGCACCCCAAGCTCACAATAGATTCGACTATCCACTAAAGGGTAATAACAGATTGTCCTCTATCCATAACAAATGTCAACAAAGCTTGAAAATCGAAGTTTGTCTTGCTAGGAAATTGCTACATATTACATCAACTGTAACTTACAAGATTAATAATAATTAGTTATCTATACTGCCTATCAATAATAATCAGTTATCAATTACCTATACTGCCAACAAAAATTGGCTAATCTGACTCACCCAAGCACAGTTCCTCAAAAATTTGCTTGAAAATTGCTACCAGCCTATTTGGCTCATTGGCGAAGAAATTAGCTGCGTTATCTTGAACATTTAACAGCTTTCCTCCATCTAATAGTTGAATAATCTTCTCAAAGCAACAGCTAATATCCATTGTTAGTGCCTCTAGAACTGATAGAAAAGAGATGACTCCATTAAATTGTGCATATAACATCAAGTACTTAAAATATTTCACCGCTTTTAAGTGATTTCTAATACTAAAGAGTGGACTTTTTTCAACATAAATTTTGAGAACTAAATCGAAGCTTTTACTATAAAAGAAAGGCTGAAAAGAGAGTCCTATTACGTTACACCTATTTTTCTAAAAAGTAAAGTTAAAAGAAATCAGTAGCTACAAAGCTCAATATAATATACAAAACAGCGTCAAGTTCAAGGCTAAAATTTCAAGAACCGTCTCTCTTACAATATTAACTTTTATATATTTGAAAACGTTTTTACAAACAGAAAACCCTGACATTATAATGACAAAATCATGGAAATCGCTCATCCTGTAACTTGTGTTTGGTTAAATGCTAAATTTGCCGTACCGTTTTGAACAAAAATTGGCTTGTGACTTTTCTGCTGCATAAATTAGCATTTCATAGATTATTAACAAACTTTGCATGAATTTTGAAAAACATTTATTGCGTGTCCCTACCAGAGAGCAGCTATTTGAAATCTTTTCAAAACTAGATCGATCGATCCTCATAAAACTAAAATTGCAATAAAAAATCCTTTCAAAAAACAAAAGGCTTCTGCATACAATAAGAGACCAGCCTGGTATTAAACGTTCCTGAGACCCTTCCCAATAACTAACCTTGTTTTACGTCTGACTCTGCCAAAAAATCTTCGATTTCTTTCACTATTACATCGGTCGATTCCATCATATGGACAGCCTTTAAAAGCTCCTTTGCATTGTCTGGCATTAGATCTTCCGGCAGACATCTGCTGTACGCATAATACAGGGCTGCATATACCCCATCTTCACTCACACCACAAAGGAAGTTATTCTCTGAATCAAACTTTTGGCATGGGAAGACGGAAGCAAGAATGCATTGGTGGCATTTGAACTAGAATAAGATTTATCATTTTATAATTTTAGTCTTGATAAAAGCAATTCTTCAAAATAATTTTGCATCAATTTAAGGCTATAAAGGGTGCTGTATATCCCAAATATGAATCAATGAATAGATTTTGAAGAGAAGAACATCGAATGGGGAAGGCAGCATGGCCTCAACATGAAGTTTAAAATTCCAGATACACTATGGTTAGGGAAGCAGAAGTGTTTTTGGACAAGGAATGAATCTTCTAGAAGTGACGAATACGAATTAGCAAATTGAATTCTAATTGAGAAATTAGAAATTGGGTGAACCAAAGAAAAAAACAACATGTTAAAATGATCCACAAAATATCGTGAAAAGTGGAATACATGATCATAATTACTCTTTAATTTGGGCTATCTAGAAAAATTCTATATTCTACGATTTCTGATCACACCTGACGGTAGTTCATATTTCATTTTTTTCATATTTGATTTTCATAAGCAGGGTTGTCCCTCAGCATAAGCTGATTTTCAAGGGGCCTTGAAAACTGTTAATTAAATTTAACTGTAAAACCTAATCAAAAATATTCAAAACTTAAGTACGACGAAATGATACAAAAAATTTCATTTAAATAAAAGAAACAATCGTTCCTAAAATGTATTTTTAAAACTATAAATTGGGATGCCTAGTTTGACTCGACTCACAGAATATTCCGACTCAGAGTTCTACACATCAAAAAGAAAAACACCTCTGGCCATTATTCGACTTTTTCTTTGGAAACAGAAGGTCATTGTTTACTTTACGCAGGTTGCAAGATCTTCCGAGGATCAAATCACTCCATTAACATCTTGTACACCTCTGGTGGAAATCCTATTTTAATCTGAAAATCCCTGGAAATCTTTTTGCTTTCGTGGAAATTTCCAACGCTATTTGTATGAGTGAATTGCCCCTCGAGATGTTCGATCAACTTATCCAGCGATACCAAAGTCCACTAGTTGATTAGGAAAATTATAAGCAAAAATACGAAGCGAATAAGAACTGCAGAATAAACACGTACAACTTTCCTATTTTTTGCAATGATTTCTAAATCCGAGAATTCTTCATTCGTCAGAGCTTCCAACAGAGTAAATCCGACATCAGATGATATCTTGTCGGACACCTTGAATTCAAATAAGCAAGTTAATTCTACCTGAAGTCTGCAAACCACAATGGTAAGGGTCATAACAATACTTCAAGCTTTGTATATAATTGGCATTCATATGTACTTTATATTAGCAGCACTGGAATCTTAACAAGAGACGACCTGGCATTTAAACCCTAGGCCGGCTTTATCGTTTTGTATCAGGAATGTTTCAAACATATCTATTGAAGAAATCGTCTTTAAAGCAATGCATTAATCTATGAACAAGCTGAAGGGCAGCGATGGCGGGAAGAGACGAGGTGAAAAAAATCGCTCTTTGCTTACTCTGAATCTTGGCACACAGAACAGTTTTTTTGCTAAAGACTAAGATCTTTATTGTCGATAAAAAAATCGCTTATTTGGGGGGCTGATGCATTAAAGATTATTCTTGTTGTCAGTTTCGGGTGTAAGCAACAATTATTGGGGGGTGTTAGACACTAAATTGATTTTGATGCCACACCTTTCAGGTCACTTGAAAATGATGGAAACACCGATTTTAAAAATTTGGTTTTTAACTTTAAGCTATAGAAGATAACAACTTAAATAAAGTAAAATATTGGCGTTTTTTTCTTACTGCTGACTACCAAAAAATGATTGTTACCGAATGAAAGCAAAATTTACCAAAGGACACAGAAAAACCACCTTCCCCCTGGTTGTTGTGGAAGATTATAGACATTTGATATTTGTCTTCATGACTGGCAACAGATAAGCCAAGATTTTCTTTACCTTTTACTTTATAAAAACATTATTTACAGCAGTTGTGCTTTCCCAGCCAAATAAAAAAACTCATTTCTTACAACAATCAAAATAAATATGGGCATTCCAGAGTTCAAAACGTAACTAACTAAGATTAGGAATCAAAAGGAACAATTATTTTATTAAAATTCCATGTCATGGAAATAATACCTTTTGTAGCCGCAAGCAATACCCAATTTTATGAGCAAGGATGATATCCTCACCATGGAACGATACCTAAAAGATTATGCATAAATTTATATCTTTGTTTTGTCCAACTCTAACATAGGAGCCCTGGGGTGAACAATATTCTTCGTCACCAGAAATTTATTGTTTTTTTTTCTACTTGGGCATTCTTCAGAGATATATTGATGAAATGAAAGATACTACACAAATGCAAAAGCCAATTAACAGGCATCACGTTTGCTTGAATGGTGTCATTCATCTACTTATAATCATAGATTCATAGAAAATCATAGAAATCATCAGAGCTAGGTCTTTTCAAAATCAATGCAATTCATTTGTAGTTTAGTCAAACATTTTTCAGGATATTGTTACAGGTTTCTATCATATGTTTTACATTGGGTTTGAGCACATGCCTCTTAAAAAAGGACTTCATTTAAACTTCTGTGCAAACTTTAGAGGCAGTGCAAATCTTAAAGTTTAGACAATGAGAATTAAACTTACATTCAGAAAACAACAATTTTGACTTAACAAAGATTGGACACATGAATAAGGAAAGTCATACATCAAATGAGATTGGTATTCCATTGTTAGTAAACATCCAGAGTTTCCATAAGCCCTTCTTGGTGTTTATCTGCAAAAACAAGTTTATTAATGGTAGCTAGAACAAATATCCCATCAGCAGTTGTTTGATATCCCATCATTAAACTCTTTATAACCAGGACATTGAATCAAAGTGCTTGAGTCCCCCAGGTAAAACTTATGATACTAATATGTTTCACCCTCTAAGGAATAAATCTAGGCCCAACCAATGCCAGGCTTTAGGCCCCTTTCGTGCCCTTTCTATAAAAGTTCTTGATATTTTGTCACACATATTATTCAGATACTCTATGTTGACATTTTAAACCCAGTTTTTCCTTTGAACACAATGCAATAGGAGCAGATTATGTTATGATTTGAGAAGCAATTGGCCATCTTAGAAAGTACAAACTGATCTTTTAAGAAAACTTTGTTTCAATTTCTATACCAATTACTTCATAAGGAAAGATAAAAAACAAACCCTTACCCTAATTATGCAAAACCTTTAAGAAAAAGGTAAAAACAAATTTTTTAAAGAAGGACGAATCATAGAAACTATCATTTATGAGAGGACAAGGAAATCTAATATTAGGCTTAATGTTTCCCTATAGATTGTGCAAAGATGTTCTGTTGTTTGACAGAATCAAATCTATCTAAGATAAAAATATGATATTCTTCTGAAGGCAATATTTTGACACTACCCTCTTATCATTAAAGAAGTTTCCTGAACACCCCCAGAACACAGATATGCTTGATATTCTATAACAAAAAATTGATAAAGTTGTATGAGCATAAATGAGTTTTCAGCTTTAATGAAAAACAAACCAGGCTGACTTGCAAGAAAAAATAAAAAACATACTGAAAAAATTTTGGCATCCATAAAGGGATATTTTTCTGCATTGGCATGCGGAATCCATTTACAAAATCCATCCTTGTCAAATTCAACATAAGATCTGCAAAGTAATGAAGCAAAAATTAGACAAAGTCTAAAAATAGTTTTGCTTAGGTTCTATTTCTGGTATTGTAGTGACTCCACTTAGGCCATTTCACATGCACTTCCTATTCCTTCATCGGTCATGCCATCACTGTGAAATCCACTTACGCCATTCATGGCATCACCACCATAGGACATTCCCTTCAACATTCCTTACATGTTCACTCATCTAAGTCATGCTGACTTCTTTCCATGTATAGATCTTTCTCCTCTATTGCATCATCATTAGATCACTCTAACTCATCCTTATCTAGCAATTTGATTTCTGTATAAAAGTATGTTAATTTGTATGCAAGTTCAGTTCAGTTCAGATCAAAGTTATACAGCAACACACTGTCTCTCTCATTGGCTCCATGTCCTCTACACATTAAATAAAACTGGATCAAACATTAACGATGGAAAGTCCAAGGATAAAGATAGGAACCATGACAATTCTTGCTAAATAATATTGTTCTATAGTATATCATAACTCTAATCCATGCTTGAAATACATCAAAACAATATATACCAACAACATGAATGCTGATTCTAAAGTCTTTATTTGAAACTTGCAGCATTGGTTTATTATTTGTGTTCTTAAATGTTGTCAACGCTAATACATTACCAAAAAGCAAAAAATTCTACAACTGACCCATCTGTTCTTTGATACTTGTTCTTAAAAGAACTATTATTATACTTAAATCCCACACATTTCCTTAAGACTTTTCATTGGCATAAAACTGATCCCAATTCATGTTTAAATCAAGAACCTAGAGTTTCTTTCTTGGTCATTTTCAAAAACTACTTTTGAAGCCATTTGGAATCTAAACCACAAAGGGTAAAAAATTTACTGACATTTTCTATATGGCTACATTACTTCCATACTGATTCCAATCTTTATATGAATTAGCTAAACTTTGAGTGGATGAGCCTGATACAAATGCGTCCAAAGTGTGTGGAAACTGAATCTTATAATTGCATTTATCTTATGTTTAAAACAGGAAATCTTTTCAAGAGTTGAAAAATTAAAAGAATCGCAGAAACACAGAATAAAAATTTATTACTAACCCTTCTATACTAAACTGATTGAAGCTCTTGACAAAATTGCCATAATCTTCGAAAACAGTTTCATCCTTAAGTTTGTGTTGAACAACCTGTACAGAAAAAATGCAAAAGCAAAACATTCTATCTAAAGGCTCAAACCATACCAAATCAAAAACGTTTTCTCTCATCTAAATAAGACAATATTACTCTCAACAAAGGGAACAAGATAATAAAAATTATTAGGAGTGGAACCGAGTAAGCATCATTTTTTTAAAGTCCTTTATGCAGTCGACAAAAAGGTTTTTAAACCTAAGTCAAAACATAAAATCATACTTCCCCTTCCTTCTCGCCAAAAATGTTTCCAAGCAATCTTTTTTTATTTGCAACTTAAGTATCTGTGAAAATTATACTTACACGCCATGACCCGTGGAAATGGACTTTTCTCATTTTGGAGAGGCTGACTCAACAATTTGTCTCCAACACTTTCTAAATTTATCAACACAATCCAGTTTTTACAAAATACTTCTAGCCTCCCTGTCTCCGCATTCAAAACGAGATTCATTACGTCAGTCTGGACTATGTGGTCTGAGCCGCGCTGTCTGGACTTACGAGTCAGTAGGCTGTTGTCCCGTAAAACAGGGGATTCTTTTTATAAAATTTATAAAAGATTTATGAAAAATGAATAATTCATGTGAATCTAATACCAGAATTGTACATGATAAAAGTTAGTATTTACAAGAATAGATATTTAAAATTTGCAAGTAAAATGATAAAGTATCACAAAAAATGAAAATTGTAATTGATAAATTATGGAAAAATTTGTAATAACCATGTATGTATGTATGTATGTTGATGGTTAAAAGTCTAGGTTGATGTCCTTGTTGAATGCTTTCCATTTCAAAAGAGACATTTCAATTTGCAAGTTATTGGGTAGATGGTTGAAAATTTTTGCTCCTTGGAACGCAAAGGTTTTGTGTCCAGTTTCTGTTCTAATTTTTTAAATGACTACGCTTTTGATGCTTTTGGGGGAATTTTTATTGTAGCTGTTCCCTGTAAATAATTTGCTTTTAGTGCTGTGCCATTCAAGCATCTAAAAATCTCTAGGGTACATAGTCCTATTCTGATCTGATATATTCAGGGTGTTTTGCAAAATTTTTTCTCCAAGTGATGGTACGTACGTACTACTCGATCTCGTATTCAGCAATTTATACAATGTCAAGCATTAATTGGCATTCGATAATTTCGCAACTTTTCTTCCCACAATAAATGCCTGCATCATCAGCATGCAATATAATTTTACTGTTGATAATATTGACTAACAGAATGAGTAAAAATGGCCCTAAAATAGATCCTTGGGGCTCTCCAAATTTGAGTTTCAGACTTCACTCCATAATATTCAACAAACTGTTTTTGTCGAACAAATAGCTCTCAAACCAAAATTCAGTTCTTCAATATTTGTTTCAATATAGGGGTAGCTTTGATAGTATCCTCGAGCTAGGAACCACATACCAGATTTATGTCTAGAATTGGAAGCTGGCAATCTTGCCAACTTTTCCTAGGACAGACGACATACATGCATATGTTATTGTAACTGTACAAAGGGCTATTACGAAATTCAATTTCTGTGACGGACGGACAAACGACACTTTCATAAGGTCTTAAAAATTAGCGAATGATCCTGAATTTTCTCCTTTTGGGTCATGAAAGAACCCAGAAGAGGGTGTAGATGAGTTGAAGCAATCTCTTCTGGGAAAAGCACATCGCCGCGGAAGGATACAAATGTCTGTGGTGACGGACGGACGGACGGACGGAATAGAAATCATTGAAAAAACTAATTTACCACGTTCAAATATTCTATCTAAGCCAACAAACTTGAGATAAATTTGAGATATTTTTAACAATTAAACGCCAGTAAGAAACATCATCAAACAATTCAAACAAATTTTTTCTCAACATTTGGAACTTTTAAGGTCGAAAGTACCAATGGATCACCGTGACGGACGGACGTGACGGACGGGAAAATGTCGCTCTAGATTAATATTGTTAAAATGCACATTATTTGTCATTAACAATTAGTAGCTATAAATAACGACAAAAGTATTTTCTTTTGCTTTACCTATGATCTGGTACCTAAATCACTATTAATATTGATGATACAAGCCGAAACAAAGATTTTTTCGTTTTAAGGGAATTTATGATTGTCCGTCCGTCACGAAATTGCGGTGAACATGTATATGAGGCAAAGATATGATGAAAAAGTCTTAAACAATAATAAAAACAATATGTGTCTATTGAGGTTAATTTTGTCTCTTGAAGTAATAATTTCGAACCATTTTAATCACTCAAAGAAGCATTTTTTATGAAACCACAATACAAATGCACGTACAACGTTGAAAAAAGGCGGGAAATGAAACGCGGAACAAACAAATTGTTAAATTTTAGACGAACTACGTTTATGGGCACTGATAAAATGCAATAAACATGCTCGGTTTATCGAAATGAGATAGTTAAAAGGCAAAAAGTGATACGATTTATTTTTTTCATGTGCGGGATGAAACAATTTTGACTAAATTGCGTGACGGATGGACAGACCGGAGGGAAATGAGACTGTCCGTATGTGACAAAATATTTTTTCTCGAAAACAAATGGACAGTTTAAAGTAACCAGAATCATCAGTTATAACACAGGTGCCAATTTGTATGAAATAAATTCGATTGGAAGAAATTTGAACAAAATTATTTGTTCGTCCATCACAATTACTTTCATATTTAGCTTCTAAATCTGCTTTAAAAAAACTGTGTGCTAAAATTGAGATATATTTGTATTTTCTATCACTTTAACTATCTAATTCTGGGATAAACTTAATATTTCTGTGATATCAAGATGGTAGGATTTTTCTAAAAATGCAACGAAGTTCGTAATAGCCCCACAATTTCACACAAACAAGACAACCTCCTGATGTTCAAAGAAATAAACCTGAAACCTCTGGTAAATTGATGCCCCTTCCAGCAAAGAGAACGCAGGCACCTATCCAGTAAATATACGTCTATGTTCTTTGAATTCTTTTAGGACAAGCATATTTTACTTTCATAAATGGATAGAAACCAGATCCGTGGCCTGATATCCTATTTGGGTGCCTCAAAGGGTGATATGTTCCAAACCCTATACTGTTTTTGCGGTACGCATGTTTTTGCTACGAGATATCATATAAAAAATTTAAAGTAGCACGGCTTTGTAATTGTTAGGTATCTAGTTTAGCAAACTTTCACAGAGCATGGTAAACGTTTTCCGCTAAAAATTACTCTGCCAATCTTAATCCTCGTATATCGATTTTAGCACCCCAATTTGAATATAGAATATCTTTGATAGCCATAACTTTCTTAAGTGTAGATTGCCCTGCCTAATACCTGAGAGATATCTTTAAGATTTTATGCACGGCCCCTGAGAAGCAAACCCGCTCTACTGATGGGGCAACCATGGTTAAAGAAATTTAATTGAATACAAATGAATGAACAATTGGAAAAAGGAAAAATGAAACTTTCCTTAAATAAATCTTTTCTTATGCAGTTAAAAAATGTATCGATGAAATGAGATAATTCATTTTGCTTTGGGAAGAGAAGTAGCAGTTTTTGTTTACAAGTTATACGATTTTGAGGTCTTTTTTACTTCAGTAGAACCTAGTAGCCATCTCAGCTACCCTATCTCTGAGGCCATAAAGGCAAATGGCAAATGACAAAACATACAACGGTGATGTTTTGAAAAATAAGACGTGGAGTCTTATAAAAAAGCATTCTTAAAATACCGTAATGCCTCGAATACGTAAGCACCCAGGTGCTTACTCAATTTTTGAGGCTCCAGGGTTGGCACTTATTCGAGGAGGCGCTTAATCGAAGGGGGCGCTTATTTAGAAAGTAGATTTTGGTGCAAATTGTGTTGTTCATTAATCCTTCTTGTTGAATTGCTTTCCAATTATGTTTTCGTTGAAAATTCGAATAAGCGCCCATTTCTGAAGGTTGAAGGATGGGCGCTTATTCGAGGGTCGGGCACTTTTTCGAGAGGGGGGCGCTTATTCAATAACTTCGCCTCTAGGATGGGCACTTATTTGAGGGGGCGCTTATTTGAGGGGGCCGCTTTTTCGAGGCATTACGATAGTGTTCTCTTTAAACCAAAAGTAGGTAATTTCGAAAAAGTCTAAAAGCATCCTAGAGAAGTATACCAAAAAAAAAGCATAAACATAGATCAACAAGTATGCTCTACCTCC